TTTCCCTACTACCAAACAACATAAAAGATTATTATAATCATCTCTATCATTCACATTTTTCATCCTTATAACCCTCTCCACCCTCTCCATCTCTCCTACCAAACGAAGCTTTCATGTCGTCCCCTACTTTTGGCTCAACCCTACAAAAGCATATAGTTTCATCAGCCAAGAATTTCCTTAAACCATCCGAAGGATTGTTTAAAACATTTAAATCAATCATTAGAAAACGACTCCGGCTGCAAAGTAATAACAATCGAAAAGGTGCCATTAAGCAACATTTTAATTCATAACCAACTCCGACGACACGTTTTTGTAACAGATTCTTCGACTCCGATAACTTCTCCTCAAGTTGGAAGGATGGTCGATAGCATTCGCCTTTACCTTGTCATTATGATGTGTGCTTGATAGTTACATAACCCCTATTATTTTAATTATACAATATGCTATATATTCTCTCATTAAATTCATAACTATACCTACTTACGTAGTTCGAATAAAGCGTCTTGGAATTTGGTTCTCTAAAAGGTTAATATTATATTTTATTTAAAATTTGATTTTATAGTTAGTTAGGTTTTGATGAAGTTGTAATTTAGGAGATTAGGCAACGTAATTGAACTTATATTTAACTTTAAATACTCCACATAATCTTCTTTAGGAATTAATTTAATTTAATTTACAACTTTATCAAAACTTATTACAAAATCAAGTTTAAATAAAAGATAATATTAGCTTTCTCGAATAGATTCTAGGGTAATGGAAAGTCGCAAGTATTGGAAAGTAACCGACAATACTTTCATACGCATAATGTTAGTCTAGCTAGCACACTCTTCAAGGTTTTTCTCTAATTATAAACTGCATAAAACTTGTAATAAATTTAAACATAAAACTGGCATTTCAACTTGATATATATATAATTAATTGCCAGTTTAAAGCATACCCAAGAGCTTGTCACAAATAAAAGGCGAGTAATATACGTCATGGATGGCACATTTGATGCATTGGGACCTCCGAGAAGAGCATGTGATTGACAACCCAGTCAAGAGTTGTCAAACTTGCACGTTTGTTTGTTTTCTTTTTCTTTTTTAATATATAGAACTTTTGGGTTTAATGTCAGCGCCAACTTCAGCAGCCAAATCTCCCAATCCGTTAGATTGGATGCTGCATTTCTTCAGCACCCAAGCAGCCAAATAACCCACTTCCACAAAGGTCTTACAGTTAATTCTTTCCAATTTCTTACAAAGAATATAGTTTGATCAACCGAAAACTTCGTTAAACTGTTCGTGGAGATAGCACAATTCGTGCAAATTAATCGTCAGGCAACGACTCCCGCCACAGAGTAATAACCATCGGAAAACCACACGATTTACAGTACTACGTCAACTGGCCATATAAAGTAATTTGTTACCGACTCCATTCTAATACTTTTTTGTTAAGTCTTGAACTCGGACAACTTCTCGTCAAGTGCGGAAGGATGGTCGATTAGATTTACTTTAACCTTAACATCACCAAACCGAATTTTGTTTGTGTCCATTTTCTACGGGAAAGCCACGGGTATCATTTTGGTGTCCTACACTTCCGGTTTTTATTTAGGGTGAAAGAGGGAAATAAGCCAATTTGATAGAGGAAAAAAACATTAGTAGGCCTAAATTTTAAAAGAGTTAGTGAACTTTAATTTACGAATTCAAAACTATAATTTAAAATTATTCTCAGTTTAACTATGTTTTTTATGAGAAAAAATATTGTAACAGACTACGAACCATGACACAAATCTTTATATCAAATACTAGTAAATAGGTCAACTTAATGTCAGTTTAGTTCGTTGATTCGAATTTTTAATTTAATTTAAAATGTGATTTTATATGATAATTTTTTACTGTAATAAAAAAATTAAATGTGACTATTTTTTAAAGTTATTTATTATAACAAAATTTAAATTTTAAACTCAAATCACTTAAATAAACAGACCTCAATATAAATATGGATTTACACAATAAAATTTCAAAAATGTCTCTACATGTAAAATAAATATTGAAATGACAACTAAGGCCTGTTCGGTTGCTCTACTTTACTCGAGAAAGACCCACTCAAGAGTAAACTTTACTCAAGTCTGCGTTCGACGTGTGAGAACTCGAACGATACTCAAACTCAAACTCGAAAATTAATTCGAGTTACCCTGCTTTATTCGAGTTCCCCTTTCCACTGCAACTTGAGTAACTTCTCTGTATTTCTACAGTGAAGATTCTTACCTGTTGCTACCTCTGGTTTGTTTGGTTGCCGAGAAAAGTGGGGAAAGAGAAATCGATGAATTTTTCAGGCAGCCGTTCTAACTCTCCCGAATCCTCCACCGAAAAATCCATCTCTATATAAAGAAATTAAACAAAAAAAGAAGCCCAATCATCTATTAAAAAAAATAGATTTTTTATCTTTCATACGCATAATGTTAGTCTAGCTAGCACACTCTTCAAGGTTTTTCTCTAATTATAAACTGCATAAAACTTGTAATAAATTTAAACATAAAACTGGCATTTCAACTTGATATATATAATTAATTGCCAGTTTAAAGCATACCCAAGAGCTTGTCACAAATAAAAGGCGAGTAATATACGTCATGGATGGCACATTTGATGCATTGGGACCTCCGAGAAGAGCATGTGATTGACAACCCAGTCAAGAGTTGTCAAACTTGCACGTTTGTTTGTTTTCTTTTTCTTTTTTAATATATAGAACTTTTGGGTTTAATGTCAGCGCCAACTTCAGCAGCCAAATCTCCCAATCCGTTAGATTGGATGCTGCATTTCTTCAGCACCCAAGCAGCCAAATAACCCACTTCCACAAAGGTCTTACAGTTAATTCTTTCCAATTTCTTACAAAGAATATAGTTTGATCAACCGAAAACTTCGTTAAACTGTTCGTGGAGATAGCACAATTCGTGCAAATTAATCGTCAGGCAACGACTCCCGCCACAGAGTAATAACCATCGGAAAACCACACGATTTACAGTACTACGTCAACTGGCCATATAAAGTAATTTGTTACCGACTCCATTCTAATACTTTTTTGTTAAGTCTTGAACTCGGACAACTTCTCGTCAAGTGCGGAAGGATGGTCGATTAGATTTACTTTAACCTTAACATCACCAAACCGAATTTTGTTTGTGTCCATTTTCTACGGGAAAGCCACGGGTATCATTTTGGTGTCCTACACTTCCGGTTTTTATTTAGGGTGAAAGAGGGAAATAAGCCAATTTGATAGAGGAAAAAAACATTAGTAGGCCTAAATTTTAAAAGAGTTAGTGAACTTTAATTTACGAATTCAAAACTATAATTTAAAATTATTCTCAGTTTAACTATGT